ATAAGTGATAATTAATTAGATGTGATACTTTCCTTTCAAATTGAACAAGTTATAAGACACGCTGTTAAAAAATTGACAACATCTATTGATGACATGGCAAATATTAATGACAAGAGAGGCATTAGCCAATGACGAGTGATAATGATCAGGTGCAATAGCTTCCTTTAAAATTGAATAGGTTATAAGACACTCTATTGACAACTTGACAATGTTCATTAACCGCATGATAAAGGCTAATGATAAGTGAGGCATCAGCCAATAACAAATGAGAATTTATTAGCTGTAATATTTTCATTTAAAACTAAACAAGTCATAAGACTCTATTGACAACAACCATTGACCAAAGGGCAAAGGTTATTGACAAATGAGGTATCGACCAGTGACATGTGCACGAAATGGCTCTCTTTCATCTTCTTCCTTTTAACTCCAAAAGGTAAATTGGTCACTGTCATTTCATTCTTATTCACCCTTAAATTTCTAGAGACTTGACATGTATTTATGAATTTGGTGGGACTTTTGGGTATTTTGAATGGTTGTGAGGTACTTCATGGTGATTTTTCCTTTTGTAAATACCACGAAATTAAAATTAAAAATGCTAGCAAATTCTTTTTTCTTCTTCTAGTAGTGAAATTTTTAGTTATACAATCTCACGTTTGTTCAAAGATTTTTTTTAATATTGAATATAAGTAATGCTTTTTGTTATTTAATTTTAAAATTATCTAAATTTTATCAAGACTGACTATATTAAAATATAAATTGAATGAATTAAGTGTATTGTTTATTAAGAATAAAATGTTAGGATTATTTCATTACAAAACATTGATAAATAATTTTGTATCTGTCAAACATAAAAAATAATATGCATATTTATGAGTTACATTACTTAATATTAGACATCTATAACAATTTTTTCCCTAAGACTTCAAAATTTACCCACGCGACCATGCCTAAAGCATTACTACTCCGTTTTTATTTATAAAAAAAATTATAACTTTTTACTTATTTTTTTATATAAATAAAATCACATATTTCAATAAACATTTATTACATATTTTTTAAATCACCCCTCATAATTTATATTAATAAAAAATAATTAAAGCAATGCTTATCTTGATTAACATAAAGCATTTTAATCTAATTTTTTTTATTTTCAGATATAATTATTATGGTTAACTAACTTTTTAAAATTATATAATATAATTTTTTTCTTATATATAGAAACGGAGAGAGAACTTTTTTGGCTTTATTTATAAGATTGTTCCTATTATTTAATACAATACTTTTTATAAAATTTAATCTAACACATGCCACTCATTTACAAAAAATATAACTCCATATCTAACCATCTCTTCATGGTTATGGTGGGAAACGACTTATTATTTTCAAACTTGCTTATAAGTAATTTTGAAATTTCGATGCTAAACTAATTTTAACCCTACTTTTCTTAATCTCAACATGGCATTATAAAAAATAGAATAGTGGGAGTAATTTTTTCTTAGGGCTTTTGTAGATATAACTCATATTATAAGATCAAACCAAACAAATAGCCTAACATTTATTATATTTACATTATAGTCGGTTTATTATATTTGTCAATGATATACCATTATGCATCAATGATAACTTTCTTATAAAATTTTAAATTTTCAATGTTAAATATTTTGTATATATCAATAATAAACTCCTTATATATATTAATATGAATTGCTCACACTCCTTAAATATTTTGTATATATCAAATATTTGATCCATATTTTCTAGGCATTAGATATTTTTTAATCAATGGACCAATTTATCTTTTTTTTCTTTAAATATCATTTGCTTTAATATTTCCTAACTAATAATAAACAATCTTCTAACAAATTAGTGTGTGTTTGGATAGGGATCATAATCAATTTTTTACCCAAAAAGTTGATTTTCTAATTAATTACCCAAACATCAATTATCCAAAAAAATTGATTTTTTGAGTTTCCCAAAGCCACAACATTCAACTTCTGAGTCTTTTGTTACAAAGTTATATGGAAAAATTATAAAAAAAGGTATAAAATTTAATAAAAATAAAACCAAACTGTCTTCTCTTCTTTTTTTTTTTTTAGTAAAATTTAAACTTTGGATCCTCAAAAAAATTACTAACTATCAACTACCACTCTTCACTTAGCACTTGCTATAAAACTAATTTAAATAAAACATTAATTGATAAAAAAATTAATTTAATTTAATTTAAAATTGATGGTCATTGCAAAGATTGTTGCAAAGATTTAGAGAGAGAGAGAAATTTGTGTCATTTGTTACATTGCTATATTTTTTATGTTGCCAAAAATTCTAAGCAGTGCTTTAACATTTTGTCAGATATAGCTTATATCCATGATGTCATTAGAGATCAACTTATACATTATTATTTTTATTAGTTATTGTAAAATTGATGTTTGGTATTTAAGAATTAAATCTTTTACTTTTATTAAATTTATTTGAACTAAGATATATTGAGTTATTTATTTACGTAAATTAAAATTATTAATATTAATATAATTTAAATTTTTATAATTAATCATATATATAATTTAAATAATATATTTTACTTTTTAAATATTAGATACAAATTTATCAATAATTTAATTTTGAAAAGAAATGTCCTTTATGGTAATTTACGTAGTTAAAATTGATTTTGAATAAATTATCCAAACATTTTAATTCTGTTAAAATTAATTTTAAAAAAATAATATCCAAACAACTTGCGTTATAACATAATCAATTATGATTAAAATTTATTATTTAATTAATTATTTTTATAATCTATTTTACTTAACTGAAATTCAAATAGGCACTTAAACAACTTCTTTTATGAACTTTATAGTACTTTACAAAAGTACATAGTTTTAGAATTTTAAAAGTATTAATTAAATTTGTTAATGTATATAAATTTGTTAATATGTCATTATTTGAGGAGTCATTGAAGGAGTAGTCTACGGTCTCTACACCGTGTACAAAAAAGTCAGCGAAAACCTGTGCCGACACCAAATATACTTTTAAACAGCGATAGTTTAAGGTAACTAAGAAACTGAAATATGTCTAACGTCTTTTTTAAATTTGCCAAAAAATATATCTAATGTCTAAACAGTACGACCGAGTTTTTGTTTCACATTTCATTAATCATAGAGAAGGCTAACATTCTCTGCATTATAAGGCTAACTTGGGGAAGTTCATTTAAAGACAATTTCTGCATTCAAGCATATTCTAATTTAAAATCTCGTATTTAAATTGTCATAACTTCTTCTTTCATTATGATCAACACTGATTGGTTAAAAAGACAAGCCCCTCCCATGCTTATAATAAACCCAAAAAAAAAAAAAAACAAACAAAGAAGGTGTCCTCACCAGCAAAACTTGCTCTAATGATTAATACAAAGCTATAATATATATATATATATATTATTGCACATAGGTAATTCCGTTCGGGGTAAGATTGGGTACTTCTCTCAATAGGGATTCAGACTTTGATTCGTCGTGTTTTGAAGGACTATTCCTTTTTATTAGATCCAACCCCATTGGTGTACAAAGCTAATATATTATATAAAGTATTATAAGGATAAAATATATATGTTGCTGAAATCATTGGAAAGAAAAGTTTGTTGATGACAATTTAAAAAATCCATATTGAACGGGGATGATTGTGGGGAGGCATATGATGATAAAACTTGATATAAGCTCAACTTATAATTTATTTCTCTTTTGCCATCAAGTTGATCCCCCCCCCCCACACACCACACATTCTTTTACACAGTTCTAAATATAGGACAAAAGACATAGTACTTAAATTTTTTCACCAACCTTACGAAGTTGTTGGCATGCTTTTAATTTTTATATATTTTATTATGATTATTAATTTCAGTGAATGATAAAATTGAAAAATCATAAATTTTTAAGCAAATTTAAGGTATCGACTACCACTCCTTAAAAATCATGAAATTAGTTCATTATTGTATCTTATAATTAGAATTGAGGGTGGGTGTGTGTATAATCTAAAAATATATGCCAATTTTTTGAAAATTTTATTTACCCATAATCTAACCCTTCCTCAAATACACATACACACATTCAAGCATATCAATATTGAGTTCAAACTCGGATTTCTTTTAAGCAAGGAAGGTGGTGCTACTATTTGGACAAGTAGCAGTAGTTGACAAAACCATAAGCCATATTGGAAGAAAGTAGAATAAGAAAATTATATAGAAGAGATTTCACAAGAGAATAATCATTGCTGTTTTCTTGCCAAAAAACTATTGTTGCTTCAGTTGGCGAAAAATAAAAACTATTATATTGCTGTTTCACACTTTCCTAATTATTATAATATACTTCCTTTCAACTATAAAATATGACATTTTCTAGAAACTAGCTATGCTTCATCCAAAATATAAGATATATTGAATAGTGTTTATAATTTTTTTATGACTATATTCCTAATTCATTCATTATTCCTTTTAAAAAATGTTTATTAGAATTTCAATTCTCATTGTATTTTATATAGAATATTTAATAAAGTTATTTTAAGAAAGATATATAATTTTTTAAAATATTAAAATTTCAATTAATTTGTTTTAATTAGGTTACCTTTTAAAATAAATAAATAAATGACAAGGAAAAGATCAAAAGACGTATTCTCCAACACGCGCTTTTACGTGCAATTTTTTCTCTCATTCATCCATGTTTGTCCTCGCCAACTCTTTCCATTGACTTTTTCCATAACCCACATCGTTGGAAAGAACTAACACAATCTGAAGCAGAGTCTTAATTTTAAATATTATAAACAATACTAAAGGAATTTCAATAAAACAATGTAAGGCGGCTGCCTCATATTGATGAAACCGGTTCAAATTTTTAAGTACCATATACTGCGAGGGATTAATTAATGCATTAAAGTATGATAAAAGTGGGTAGCCACGGTCAAGAGCTGCAACTATATAAGTGGTTGGATAATCCATGTTGAGTCAAGCAAATTAAACACATAGAAAGAGAGAGAGTTGGAGGTAGCAAGAGAGAGAAGATCATGGAAAGCTCAATGGGGTTGAGGCAATGGCCTCAACTCACACTTGCAATGGCACTTTGCCTAGTTGCTATCAGTGTTAGTGCTGATTATAGCCCTTATGCATACCAATCTCCACCTCCGCCGTATGTGTACAAGTCACCTCCTCCTCCATCTCTCTCACCACCACCTTCTTATTACTACAAGTCCCCGCCTCCGCCATATGTATACAAGTCACCTCCTCCTCCATCTCCATCACCACTACCTCCATATTATTACAAATCTCCCCCTCCTCCATCTCCATCACCACCACCTCCATATGTGTACAAATCTCCACCTCCACCATCTCCCTCACCTCCTCCCCCATATGTTTACAAGTCTCCACCACCCCCATCCCCATCACCACCACCTCCATATATTTACAAGTCCCCGCCTCCACCATCTCCTTCACCACCCCCTCCTTATATCTACAAGTCCCCTCCTCCACCATCTCCCTCACCTCCTCCGCCATATGTTTATAAATCACCACCACCTCCATCTCCTTTACTGCCACCTCCATATGTATACAAGTCTCCACCTCCACCATCACCCTCTCCTCCACCTTACTACTATAAATCTCCTCCTCCTCCTCCTTATGTGTACTAGTGATCCACTAGTAAATTTTAATGAGCTTTCTCTTATAAACCCCCTTTGAATTGTTTCGGTGATTATTTTATATATACCCATTATTTCTGTTTGTATTCAATACTTTCATTGATAATAGGGTTTACAATAAAGTGAGTATCTTATAATGTATCCCTTGTTGTGATTATATATGCAATACCATTTGTATGTCATTCAATGAATAACACAGAAGAGTTTAATTTCTTGATTTATTTCTATACATGTCAAAATACTATTACAATGAAAAAAAAACTTACAGAACCGCCTATTAATTTTAACCTCTAGGAGCGCTTCAAAGTTAATTTTATAATTTCATGGATCAATTAAGGTTTTTATTTCCTTTATTAATTATTTCCTTTATTAATTATACATCGACCCCTTATCCTCCCAACAAGATTCAGGACCGGAAAAAAAAATTGGACTGTAAATAATCAATTTTTTCTAAAAGTGTTAATCAACACCAAAATTTACTTAGAGATCAATCAGCTTGCCTTTATATTATTAAATAACAAAAAAAATTTTCCTTACCTCTAATCGAATTATGATATACTTCTTCCGGTCCCAAATATAAGAGCTAATTAACTAATTCACATAAATTAATTAAGGAACTTAGGTAATTTTGTTACTTATAACAAATATGTATTATTTTCCTAAAATATCTCTCCTTTAATCATTCAAATTGGGAGTATTACCAACATACACTTCATACAATAATCTAACCATACGGATAGTTTGGGCAAAAAAATAAAAAATATGAGAAAAACAAAGGAAATTGATATCTCATATGTAGGACCGAAATAAATATATCCCAATTAGTTCTTATTTTTTAGGACCAAAGGGAATAAATAGTTCACATATGAGCTACCATATATGAACCCATCATCCAATCCCTTGGTTCACCAAAAAAAGAAAATGTGCAATCACTAAGCCACCAATACCTTTTAGTTATATGGTATAGCATGCGCACATGTAATTGACTTAGTTTCCAAACCAATTATTTGTTAAAAGCTCAAGTGAACTTGTCAATTTACTAATGGGAATTTGTTAAGAAAACTCACGTTCTACATATTGAACCTAGCTTTGTTGATTTGTTACAACATGAAGTAGACTTATTAAAATCCTAACTCAACTTTTCACTTTAGTAATTTTGCTTGTTAATTTAAACGGGTCAAATGCAAATTGATATTTGAAAATCCATGGATTTGATAATTTCCCTTTCGAATTGATAAGTAACTGTTATTGAACAGAAAAGTTGCTTAAATTTTCTCATGAATTTTCAAAGCTTCCAATTCGCAACTAATCCTTTGCAGATTAGAAAGTAAAAGTTACTAAATTGACAAGTTCAATTAAGATTTCAACAAGTTCACTTATACATTTTCAAACCTATTAATTTGTGATAGGCCTCATAAATTAACAAATAAAAGTTACTAAAATGTCAAGTTCGGTTAAAAATTTTAACGAGTCCACCTCTACTTGTTCAAAAAGGACGACACAAAGAAAGAAGAAAACGAACGCCACTCACGAGTCTAATAAATGGGGGGGGGGGGGATGAAAGCGTGCGTCCCCATCTACAAACTTGCTCTAATTAATTAATACGGAGCTAATATATGAAAATATGGATATATAATATATATGTTGTCGAAATCATTGGAAAGAAAAGTTTGTTGAATGACAATATAAAAGAATAATTTATGTAAATCCATATTGAGCTCGGATGATAGTGTGGTGTCAAAAATGTAATTTATTATTGTTTTTTTTTTAACACCGGAGCAGACCCAATCGATAGTAGCTAGATACTCCTTTGATTCTATTTATAAAGTAAAGAGAGAAGATTTGCTTTGATCCTATTTATAAAGTATCTTAACAATTATTATATCTATCTTTACTCTTTTGCCCCTATTAATGTTAGGAAGATTATTAAATATTAAAGTATTTTATTTTTAGAGTAGATATATTTAATAAGGATAAAGTTAAAAACTTGTTGAATTTTTAAATAAAGTTAATGAGGTTCAAGATTTTTCTTAGTTCTAATGAAAATGTTGGAAGTGACTTATAAATAAAACTAAAGAGAGTATAATAACAAAATCAATATTTTAAAAATTGGACTAGACAACAAATCAAAAGGGCCAATAAATCACACTTTTCGTGATTCAATCAATTAAATTAGCAATATCATCAAAATTAGTTAAATAAAAAATAATATTCTTGTGTGTGTGTGTGTGTGTGTGTGTGTGTGTGTGTGTGTGTGTGTGTGTGTGTGTGTGTGTGTGTGTGTGTGTGTGTGTGTGTGTGTGTGTGTGTTGGCGTGGAAGGTTGATGGGGAAGGGGTCTGGCACCTGCACTAAGCATGTTAGAAGAGCAAATGCTCAATCAGAGCGATTTAGGTTCCCTTGTTTGCACAATGAGCTCAGTTTCAGAGAGAAATCAAATGCATTAAAGGAATGGGGAAAAAAGAGTACACCATGTTGGGAAACACAGGTTCATTGGAACTGAAACTAATCCTAAGCCATATCTAAGATCTAAATTGCCGAGTCAATTTGACCCCAAAAAAAAAAATTACAAATCACACTAGATTAGGCTCTTTTATAAGGTCGAGAATAAATTCAACTGTTTGGAAGTATGAGTGTTTGGAGTGATCATTGGATACTCTGATGCTTTCAATTTTCACTTTTTTATATGTTTGAATTCAAATTCCTCATTGCCAAGCGGGAGGATTAATCCAAAACATGTCATATAACACCACAATATATAAGATTGAAGGGTTTAGGATTCTTCATAAACTCGTTTTAGGTTTTGGGTTAATGTTGAATCTGTCAAATCCATGCAGTTCAAGATAGTCCAAAAATTCAAAACAAGTTAATAAGTTAAACCGAGCTATTTTTATATCCTGTGTCAGTCCGACCGATTCCACGGTTGATGTCTTACAACAACAGTGGTCAAAACGTTATATAAATAAATGCCATTTGGAAGGAAGTACAAGAAAATATAGAAGAGATTTCACATTAGAATAAAATATTGCCGTTTTTCAGCCGGCAAACTATTGCTGTTTCACACTTTTCTGATTATTATAATATAAAAATTAGGTTACGTGTTTTAAAATGAATAAATAAATGAAGAGGAAAAGATCAAAAAGACATGCTCTACGACGCGTGTTTTCATTCAAATTAGATTTTAAACTCTCGTGCAAATGAGTAATTTATAGTCTGGTTGTTTTAAATTAAAAAATAAATAATTTTTTGATAGTTTAAAGATTTTATAGGAAAGATTTATTTTGTAAATATTTTATAAAAGCTAATTTTATTTTATATTTTGGCACAATAATAAAAAATTAATTATTAATTAGTTTTTTAAAAATTTTATTATATGTTTTTATTTCTGTTTTATATAAATAATTTATTATTTAATTATTTTAAAATTTTATGATATCTTCGTGTATCTTGCATTTTTTAAAAAAACTTTATCTATCATATTAGATTATTTTCAAAAATTATTTAAAGCAAATTCTTAAAATAATATTTTTTTAATCAGAAATATGTTTTTTCAAGATTCAGATTATTTTAAAAAATTAAAAAAACATAATAAAAATTTAAAAAATATTTTTAAAAAAAATAGGTGATTTTTTTTATCAAATAAATTGAGACAAACGGCTCCTAATATTGGGGAATGATGATTAATAAATGGGGCATCTTTGGGAAATCTTTTTCATAAAATCCTCTATCTAGTTTGGGGGAATGAAAAGGAATGAGAAATTTTAATACTTTTAATTTTTTAAAAATAAACAATTAAGTTATAAAATTTTAATAGAGAGAAGATGTAAAAGAAAAGAACCAAAAAGTCAATTAAAATCTCTTAACCTCACTTCTATATGTTTTTAAGAGTCCAACTCATTAATTAAAATCCCCTATTTTCCCTTTATTCCCTTTACACTGTGATTGCCTCGAGAGAAAAGTGGGGGAAAATAAAAGTAGACGAGAAAAGTAAGAAGAAAATGACAATTTTTTTTTTCCTGGTTGGCTAATAAGGAGAAAAAAAATGGGAGAAAAAGGAAATTTGAAGGCAAATAATCTGTGTAACCGGATCCTCTTAGCTTCCTTGTTTCTCAGCATCTCTCAGCGGCAGAATCCTGTACGTTAAAATGGTCAAAATATCCACAATGAACACATCACACGGCTTTTAAAAAATGCATGTAAATAGTCTGTTTTTAAATAGTAAACAAAAATACATTTTCAAACATCATGTAGGGATGGAAAACATGTGGTCAGGCCAGATTTTGGTTAAACAGGTTTAATTTATTTATATAAATAGGCTTAATTATAAGCTAAATCATGGCTCTTTTTGTTGAAAAGGATAGATCAAAATTTAAACAGGTCTGATTGTAGGCCTCTGCTGGCTTATATACTTATTTGGTTATTTACTTATTTTTTAAAACAAATAAGTAAATAAGCCTGAGACCTACAATGGGACTTGTTTAAATCTTGACCTGTCCTATTTAACAAAAATAGCCATATTTAGCTTATAACTATGCCTATCTATATAAATAGACTAGATTTGTTTAGCCAAAATCTGATCGGACCTGACATATTTTCATCCCTATATGATGTTTCAAAATGTATTTTTGTTTATTATTTAATAACAAATTATTTTCATGTATTTTTAAAATTAATGTGATGTGTGCGTTGTCACTTGTCAGCATTTTTGTCATTTCAACGCACAAGATTCTGCCGCGAGGGACGCTAAGAAACAAGAATGCTGAGGGGATCTGGATCCAATAAAATGTATGGGATGTTTTTACCTCTAATTTTTCACTTCAAATATGAGAAAAATTTAAAGTTTGAAGGGAAAACTCAATTTTTCAAATTTACTCATGAATTTTTTTGGTTCTGGCCGTTGTCTCCCTCTATTTTCATCCCAATTTTCCATCTACTTTATATTATATCTAATAATTTAAGAAATAAAATTTAAAAGTGGACAAAATATTTTCTTGCTGGTCTTAGCTAAAATAATTTACAATTATATTTTTATTCAAGCAGTAATATATAATAAAAATTATATAAATAATATGTTAAAATATTAAATTTTATCATACATAAATATTTTTTATAAATAATAAGATTATTATTTTTCATATGAAATTAACAACTTTTTTCCTTATCTGTCTCTCTCTCTTTTTTTTTTTTGCTTCGCCAAGTATAAAGAGAGAAAGTTATTTCCT